AAAAAAAAAAAAAAAAAAAAAGAAAGAAGAGAGAGAAATTCTTAGCCTTGACATGCCACCCCATTAAAATCCTTGGAACAATGAGTCCTCTCCCGAGTCAACTCGTTCTCGCATGGACTCGCGGAGTCTTGAGGCAAACCCATCTTAGACCCCGAAACGATATGGTCCCTTAGATCCTTAATCATGTTGTACCTCTCGATCTCGTCCACCACCACCTCCTTTCTCCAAGGCCGTGACGCGAACTCAAAAAGACCCTTTCCCTCAAAAGCATTTAAATTCTTGCCGATGTAATCATCAGCTCTTAGCTCGATCGAGTGAAGATCGCTATCATCCGAGTTGCAATCATCTTCAACATCCTCGACTTCATTTACTATCCCAATATCATTTTTCACTCTATCTTCTTCGTATTCGTAAGCGCACGGCAAAGGCAAAGTCTCTCGTAAATATTTCTCGAGCTCCTTAATCTTGTCGTATCTTGGTGACCTATTCTCTTCACATTTTTTCGACTTCATCAAATAGGACTCGAGCTCGCCCCTCAACTTGTCGACTATTGCATTTTTCTCCTCGAATCTGTACTTAGCCTCTGAAAGCTTCATCCGAACCCTCTCCTCCCGAAGAACATCGGCCAATTGGAACATTTCCCGCTCTTTCTCGAGTTCTTCACAAACTCTACCCGATTGCTTCTTGAGCTCCTCCACCTCCTGCGCCAGCTCATCACGAACCCGCTCGAGCATCACGCGGGCCCGTGTTTCGCCCTCGAGATCCTCATTCGCTTTCAGAAGCAACTCTTTGGTCTCGGATAAGTCTCTCCCGAGTTTCGTGTTGAGTCTTTCGGTTTGTAACCTTAGCTTCTTTTCTTTTTCGAGCTCCATACGAGTTTTGTCCTGTTGTTGCCTTAATTTATTCCAGAGAGATTTTTTTTCCTCTTGAAAGTGTTTGCATAAAGCTTCGATATCAGTTTGTTTTTGCTTTTGTTCTTGGCTTAACTCGACGACATGGAAAAAAGCCCGGTCAAGCTCGAATTTGAGGGCCGAGAAAAGAGATAGGTCCGTTGAGTTGTGGTGGTCGAGACGAGAAACTCGGCCCATGACTTTGAGTAATTCTTTGGAGGTCATGAGCCCATTATAGATGTCCTTCAAACGGTTCTTTGGCTCGACTAGGTTTTTATATGGGCTTCGGGCCCGATTCTGCAAGTGATCAAAGAACAAAAAAACAGGAGATATATGGAAGAATAAGATGTTGGGGAAGTTTCAAATTTATTGAAATAACACAAAAAAGTTGGATTAAAAAAGGTGTATAGTTTGACAACTATAAGGAGACAATTATAGGGGCATGTTGGGTTTGATGGTAGCCCATAAGAGAACCAAACCATGTTCTTTGCCCCAACCAACCTATTAACAGAGCATTTTTGTCCATTTCTAATCAAGGGTTACTCCAAAAGGCAATAATAGCATATAGAGATCAATAAAAACAAACAAATTTAGGAAAAGGACAATAAAATTTAAAACCTTTCATTAAGCTACATACTCAATAGTAAGAAATAGAATAGAGAAAAGAATATACAATAACATAGCTTCTATTATCAATAAAAATTTCCACCCATAATCCATATATATCAAATTCAATAAAAATTTCCACCCATAATCCATCCATATTTTAATATATATGCATACTTTCAAACTTAAATGTTACACTCTAAAAAAAACATAAACAAAATATGACACTTCTTAGTATAAATATGTATTTTTTGTTAAAAAATATGATGAGTCGATCTGTTTAACGGTTAGGCTGCCTCGTAAGCTCACAAAAAGTACCTCCACCAAGCAATCATGGATAGACTTGCCAACTCCCAAATGACAATCAGTGTGCATAGTTTTCTGAGAACCTGCTGATGCTCTTCTTCTATGGCTGCCCACTTTTGGTAAATCCATCATCATCTGCAAAATTTCCAAACAAAAGGGAAAAAAAAAATAAAAAATCAAATCAAATACCCATTTGATAGAATATTCAAAAATATGAGGAAAAAAAAAAAGTTCAAATATTTTTTTTTTTCCCCCCAACAAAAATGCTAACCCCACCTCAGAAACAGGACTATGTGATGATAGATCATTCAAAGCAACAGCCTTTGATCCCTTTGATTCCAATTTCGAATGCTCGAAATTCTTTCCATTAAAGAATCCAACTTCACAAACTTCCTCACTCGAATACTCTCCCTTGAGTCTTGCAGAAGGCAAGCCATCGATCTCCCAAAGAGTGGCGGCCAGCTTCCGGGCCGAGACCGATAATCCCTCAGCCCTTAGCCCGCCATTTGAAGCCGCTAAAAGCTTCAACAACCCATCAATTTCCGGTGAGCCCATCGGTTTTTTCCATTTCGGCACAGGCGTGCTAGAGCCCGTCTTTTTCCCCACCGAAAAAGCGCGCTTTATTCGACATTTTTGATGCAACGAAGATGAAGATGATGAGGAGCAACCCCTTTTTCTCACTCTGCATTTTTTCCTTCCTCCAATTTTCCCATCCAAATTCGAATTCTTCCTCGGCATTCTCCAATTTTAGACCTAATTTTTCAGTTTCTTGAATTTGGTAATAATAATTATGATAATACGAATGCTATTCAATGTATTGAATGCCAAATTAGAAACCCATTAACCCAGAATAAAGTAAATCCCAATAATCACTCCAAAATCGGAAACCCATAAAACATCAACAGATCTAAAGACTGAGGGGCATGCAAATTAGAGCCCTCTTTGTGGAAAAAAAGTTTGGGTCTTCGATTTTCAAAGTTGCAGAGAAAAGGAGGCAAAAAACATGTGGAGGGTTAGTTGCGAGGTGAGACAAACTGTCAAGGTTTCATCTTTAATGGCGATGAGAGAGAGAGAGAGAGAGAGAGAGAGAGAGAGAGAGAGAGAGAGAGAGAGAGAGCTTTCAAGGAGTGAATCTGATGATATTTTTCATGGGAAAAGAGAGTTTAGAGAGATTTGAGAGAGAAAATGAGGGGTTGAGGTCTGTGTTTTATAATGTGAAAGAAGAAGAGATGACGTGGCATACACGTGGACACTGACCTGTT